ATGTATGCTGATGAAAACAGCGCTGACACTTCTATGGAGCAGCTAATTCACCCTCATCTGCACAAACAAAGCGATTCTCCTTGGATAACATGATTTTAGGGCAAAGTAAACATCCTTAGAACAGCATTCGATTCAGAGAAACTCAGCAGCAGGCGACACTTTGCTCTGGGGACGGCATGATAAATAAACTTGTGTGATAAATAAATGTAGAGCTTGTGTATTTAAGGGCCTCTGGAAGAGATTATTAGGAGCTCACACAGTGATTAAAACCAAATCAAGAAGTTGCCGGCGGGTGCATTCCCACTGCCTAATTGAAACTATTCCTTATTTACTCATCTTAACCATCTGAGAGCTGGCAAATCAGCTTCATTTTCCACATACAGTATCTACAACCTCAGGAATCCTTAGATGTGCAGGAGAATCTCTGGGGGAAGAGGATGGGGTGTTCATGTCGCACCAAAAGGAAAGGAAAAGGCGAAATCGCCGATCACAGAGGGATTAATTCCATTTCTGAAGGCAGGCAGCAGTGGAGGGAAGAAGAGTGAGAGGAAGGAGGATGATCAAGGGGGGAGAAGACGAACACATTTCATCCATTTCAGTGGCGGCCTATTTCTTTGTGTTAATTCCTCCATGCTTTTTAAGTTCTAAAGCTCCTGCATTGTGGCGCAGTAGGATAGAGCATGATTGAGAAATTTGGAGGAGTATTTTTAGCCGAAGAATTCGCTCAGCCCTGAGGGAACAGCATATGATTTCTCTTTCATGCGCTCACTTTGGTGGTTTCACCGTAAACCTCAGGATTTGTAGCCGTGGGGAGGAGTTCAGACTGAATCAGCTCTGTATCCACTGCACAGAAAAACTGCCTCCTGATTGGCACAAGTACAGTTGTTCCAGATAACCTCATCTCTTCAGCGCGGCCGTGGCAGTAACACATCACTGTGTTACAGTCCGCAGTGTCACACAAACGAGTTTTACTTGAGACTGCCTGAAAGGTTACATGTAAGATGTGAGGAGAAAAAGGGTCCAAATAAGTTCATTCCCCAAAGACCTACAGCTGTGATCACTAGATTACTGCAAAAAAGAGAAATCAGGAAGAGATGAGCAAGGAAAAATGCTAATTATTATGTAATGCAAAAAGCTGCATATAGGAGATTAATGCTCCATCCAAACTAAGCGTGTTAGCTTTCAGATTTGTTTAGCATGTATAATTTGAACATTTTATGCATGGGAATATCCTATTTATGTTTTCATGACCCAGTTAAGCATGAAATGGTGACAAACAAGTCTACAAAGTTTTCTGAGGAAGATATATTCCAAAAAAACCAATGGGTTTTAAAAAATCTTATCCTGTTTCTGAAACTCTTTAACATGTGTTGGGGTTCTTTATAACTTACAATATAATTTGATTCAACCTGCCACTTTGTCACTGAGCCTCACTAGACAATCCATCTAACCCAGCTGGGTTGGATCAAGCTGGGTTAGAAAGTTTGGAAATTGTTAGTTTTTTTTTTTTTTTTTTTAAGATAATATGACGATCAAAACCTTTGAACACACAAGGTTCTTGAAACTTCAAAGTTATGTGAATGATGAAGCAATTATGTCTTCACAACAATGAAAAGGTGATGAAACCAAAACTTTATGAATTATTCAATTTTCTGGCATTAATCTGGACTGAGATCCAGCAGGTTTATTACTAATTGCTGGTTTGCCTGGCATCACCATGCCACAGGAGACAGTTGTCTTGTGTCTTGCCAGGGATCGTATGACGTTCCTTATGTGGTTGATGTTGCTAATATACCTTTTTATCAAACTGTGGCCTTGTGATTTTAGATTATTCTGATTGTTCACTTCCACAGTGCTTTAGCATGGAGGCAGGTGTGCTGCTGTCAGCAAAAACCAAGGGGTCAAAACATTTCAATCGGTCCTGTTGAGCTCCTGATTGGTTGTTTGGATGGTTCAATTTGTCTGCATCCAACTCTCGTTGCTTTCTGTGCTTTGAAATTCCCAGGTAATTAGCACTTTATCTCACTGTTACTTTGGTTCTTAGAGTTGACAACTTGGTGCATCTGACTCAGCATCACAGGGTTTTGCTATTTAAAGATACCCTATGTAACGAATCGCTCTAGCTTCTGTTTGATTGCCATTAGCAGAGTTCCTAGTCTTTTACAGAGGTATTGAGAAGTTCATTGAATTTAGTTTTGATATTTTATATCATAAAAAACATCAATCGCCACCCACCTTCCAAACATTTCTGCTACTTTATGATTAGATAGATTCAACCTGGTGCTTTGTGGCCATTTGACAGGTCAGGGACCAGTCCAGGATGAACCCCATTTCCAGCATCTCATGATTACTACAGACGGGCAGCAGTGGGTATGCAAATTGGGCCGATGGATTTCCTGTGGCCTTTATTGCCTTGTTGTTCTTGATTACTCCCATCTGCAAAGGAGTGAAAACAAAAACATGCCTTATGAGCTCTGTGTTAAGAATTCACCATGTTTCCTGTGGCAAATGCACAACTTTTTAATGTAGTTATTTTTTTAAATATACATTTTGTTTCTTTAATGTCTTCTAAAGTGGAAACCATTTACCTGGCAATGACAGCATGTTTTACATCACCATGTAATAACATAAATATTTGCTGATATGTAGAACAATTTTAAAGAAGTTTGCAACAAAGAGTTTTGTCAAAAAATACTCAAACACAAGCAACAAAGATTTTAACATCTAATATTATCAGGAGGATAAATGAGGAATGGCTGACTGATCTAAATTTGGAACACGAAGAGCTCGGGTTGCACCGTGGGAATAGAAAAATGCAGACTGAGCGTGGACCTTTCACATAAAATGTTCATGTTTGTTTATACAGATGCTTAAAAAACACTTTCCCAAAAATAGGCCACGCTTTGTTAAAACTCGGCTGTTAAACATTTAGAGAGAACAGAGAATATGACATTATGAGAATTGTAGGACTGAATAATGTGCTTTATTTGACTGTAGAAGTCGACAAGAGCTTGCACAGTCAGATTTAGCCATGTTTTTGCAGTCACTGACCTCCAGCTGAACTTTAACACATTGACTTTTCTCATGCGTTGGTACTTCTCATTCTGTAGAGCCTCATTGACTCTAATTAGCCTTTACGGTATTTTCCATGTCTTGTGACAGCGCGTAGAGACAACCAGACTTTCTCTTGCTACCCTCCGCCCCCTCCTCTGTCCTCTCTCGCTCTACATCCAGCTCTTTGTCTTGGCCATCTCTCATGAGCCCCAGCTGTTTGGCCTGCAGTAAATGTTACCACATACAGTGAGCAGTGGGATCCCAGCCATCATGCTTCTGGGACGGAGAGTAACTTCTCCCCATGTTTCATCTTTGTTTTGAGTTCCTTTGTGGTTTCTCCACGATTGTTTTTCAATGTGCTTCTTCTTCCGAGAATTAGCTCAGTTTTCAGTTTCCTTCGATTTTTAAAATATAAGCATCACACCTTGCTGTGCATTTTACCATATATCCAAATAAAATATATGGTATTTTATACCATATATTGTGAGGTTTGACGTAACACAGCTGTGCACTGACTGACAAGGCCATTGTCAGCAGTTGTACGCCATAGGTTGTCATCGTATGAAAAATGCAAAACTTATGTAAGAATATATTGGGGTCACATGAATGATTGTGGACTGTATTACATAAACAGAAATTAATTGGATATGTTTGCTTCTAGGAAACATTTGTTGTGTGTTGATGCTGTATAGATAAACAGACTTAAGATACCAATTAAACAATGCAGTTTTATTATAAACCTTTGAACATTTTAATAAATATGGGAAGAAATCAGAATCTAAGAATGCCATAAATGGATAAAGTAAGCTGGTTTGGAACTAGAATCTCATTTTTTTTCTATTAACATTTTAGGAGCAAATAGCTCATAGATGAATTGTATTTTATGTGGAGCACTAATGATCCGAGAGTGGAAAATCATCCAGAAAATCCACTTTTTGAGTCAAGCTCCCATCTGGTTCACAATGTTTTCTATTTTTACCCAGAACTTTATTTCCAAGCAGGAGGTTCAAAACAGAAAAAAAGAAAAGAGACACCTGCTGAACAAAAAGAGTTCAAACATGGAAAGTTTAAGGTTCCCCAGCAGACTGACATTGGTTTCTACAGACAAAAGTTATTTTGGAATTTGCAGTAATTTCACCTTCATTGTTTGTATTAAGTAATCAGTAAATCAAGAGTATATTGTGTTAAGAACTGCACACATCTGTTTTTTTCCCATTGAACAGTGAAAAACTGATTATTTCTTTCAACCCTACAATTCCCAATTATTATTCTGGAAGTATAACAATAACCCTGACCTAATTCTTACCTTCCTGGTTTCTGAGGTTAATAAATCAAAATTCAATGGTTAGTTCATATTTTTAGTGCTGAAACTGCCGATCAGAATTAATATCAGATTACTGGATTGTAATATGTCTCCAAATATGCTTGTTATTTAATAAATAATTCATTATATTCATACATTAAGCTGGGAATATTTGGGTGTCTGCAATGAGACAGACTTGATCTAAATAAATTGATGTCTTATAAACAGCAGCAGAATGGAAACACGTTACTAAAAACACAAAAGCATGAAGAGAAAACAATGAAAGGTTGTGTTGGGAAAAACACATGTATGCAACTATGTATGCATTTTTGTGTTGCAGTGAAAACAAACCTTAAAAGCAAACAAGGACTTAAAATTAATTCACTAAACAGGAAATGTAACATTCCTGGAAGAAATGCTCTGTTTAGTTTTCCCTGGGAGTAATAAAAGAAATGATTTACAAAAGCAGAGATTTCTTCATCTAAGCAAAGAAATATTAACTACGACCATGACTAACAGATTTAGAAATTCAAACAGAGATTCATGCATGATGAAGGTTTTTCATTTGTGCACCAAACATTGCTGCAAAGGACACTTTAAAGTTACCCTCTGTAATTTTTTCTTTTTGTTCTGGTTTTCCCAGGTGGGACCTCTACACTGCGTCTCTCATCGGTGCGAGAGCTGCCCGATCAGCTGCAGGAGCTTTACCAGCAGGGTTTTGTCCTTGCGGCCGTCCATCCATTTATCCATCCCTGTGGTCCACAGTCCAACAGCCCGCAGCACCAGCTCTACCGGGCCATACTTGTCCGAATCAATGACGGGTAAGATAATAATTCCTGATCATTAAATAAGTTCTGCCCCAGGACAGGAATTAATATGCAATGAAAAAAAAATAGCATCAAATTCTGGCAAGTAAACTGACTAACAAGTGCAGACATTTGAATAGGCTAGGAGGGGTATTTTTTTTGGATTATCTTATTTATGAGTAAGTAAAATAAGTTACTTCTTGTGTGGGTTTTTTCTATTAAGTTGTTTGAATAAAGTCTAAAATGTAAAAAAGCTCCCTTTATACAAGTTATGCTTAGTGACCATTCATAAAAGAAAAGAGACGAGTCTACACTACAAAGTCCTACTGTCATAAAATGCTTTCATATATTTAAAAGTGAAACTTATATGATTTACCTAATACGTTTTAATTTTGTGGATTTTTCCTTTATCTTTGGAACAACCATCTCTGCAAAAAGTTTTGAAGTTTTACCGTATTTTCCGGAGTATAAATCGCACCAGCCATAAAATGCATAATGAAGAAGAAAAAGACATATATAAGTCGCACCAGAGTATAAGTTGCATTTTTGAAGAAATGTATTTGATAAAATCCAACACCAAGAACAGACATGTCATCTTGAAAGGCAATTTAAAATAAAAATAGAATAGAGGCTACAACAGGTTGAATAATTGTACGGTATGCTAACGTTACATGACACATAACGAACTGAGAACATGCCGGGTATGTTAACATAACATATTAAGAGTTATTCAGATAACTACAGCATAAATAACATGCTAACAAGTTAACCAAACCATACGTGTCTCTCCAAATCAGTAAACGCAATCAAATCTTCATCCTCAATATCGCTTTTAAACAACTCTGCTAACTCCGAAGGTAGAATAGCACAGGCCTAGAGCGCCCTCTTGCGGTTTAGTGTGAACATAACATGTGATATGACATAATGACGTGTTAATTTCCACATATAAGTCGCTCCGGAGTATAAGTCACACCCACGGCCAAACAATAAAAAAAAACTGCAACTTATAGTCCAGAAAATACGGTAATTTGTTTTGACATTTTTTGTCAAAATAATTTGTGAAAAGTCCAACTACTCTATCTGTCTCATGTAGGTTCATTTTTAAATTGTGCATTTTTTTAGTATGAGTGTGTGCAATCGTAAAAACCTGCTTAGATTCAATATTTGCACTTTGATATATTTCCATGCATTTACAGTCTGTATTCCAATAACACATTTGGCTGGGATTTTCACTTCCATCAATTTTTAATCTGAGGTAGATTTTGGTGTCCAGAGTATAAAGATCACATAAATGTTATGATAGAAAAGCAAGTCAAGTGTCTGGAAAATGTTTACTTTGCTGTAAATATATATTTTCAATATCCAGCAATGATGTTATAATTGCGTCTCTCATTAACGTCATGCAACAGTTACTTTTAAATACCTGTAATTTAAGTGTTTCAGTTTAGCACATGGAGTCAGATTTTCATTTATTTAATTAACTAATCTATTCAATTAATAAAAAGTTTTCTGACATCTGAAGGAAATAGTTCAGGGAAGAGACAATAGAGAATAAGGATAGAGAACGTTTGAATGACTTTGATAAATGACTTAATTTGTAAATTTCTGGGATGAATGAATCAATTTAACTGATGTCTCCTGGGACAAAGTCCTTTGCAGATGGACTTTTGTTCATTTTGTCACATTACAACCAAAGTTTTCAAAGTATTTTGTCGAGACTTCTTGAGATAAGCCAACCAGAAAGAAGTGCTCACATGTGAAGTGTAGCAAAATTATAATTATAGGCTACATTATCATTTTTTTGACAAAATAAATTTATAACGTTTTTTTCTATTCAGCCCCTTCATATTAATATCAAGCCACTTTTGGCTGCAGTTATAGTTAAACTTTTGTGGAGTTTCCTTCAACCAGATTACACATTAAAGATAAACATTTTAAAAAATGTTTAACCTCTCTCAAAAATGGGGAGTGTCTGTAAACATTAATCTTTAAGTCTTGCCACAGATTCTCAATTGTATTTCAGTCTAGAAATTGACTGGTGCAATCGAACACATTCATTTTCTTTGATCTACACTCCAGTAGTCAGAGTTACTGATCTATTGTTTTGCTAAAAATCATTGCTCATATTCAGTCAGATAAATTCTCTTACAAAAGTCATTGTACTTACAAATATAGATCCTTATATATCAACTAAAAGCTTCATAAGGAGAGATTTAAAATCATCAGCTGCTTCTCTTGCAAAAATAAACATTTCCAGTTTTTAATAACTCAGCATCTAATGTAAATTGTTCAAACCAGTATCTGTTTCATTCCAAGTGGGAATTTAGAAGTTTGTTTAATTTCATTGAAAAAAATAAAAATAAAGATCAATAAAACATATCACCTGCCTAATTCAATACATATCCTCTTATCAGACAAGCAAAAGGTGAAAACCGAAGTCAGACCCTCATTAGGGGAACATATTGCTCTAAACAACAGGGCCTGCCCCCCAAGGCAAATATGTTTCTGAGGCCTCAGACGTCTTAGCTGCACCCCTGGGAATTAGACCTTTGCAAGAACAAAATAATGAAGCCATTACAGTCACTTAAGACAGCATGTTGAGATTACTAATGTACCTTAATTGGTGTCATTATGCAGAGAGGACTTGGTGGGAATCAAATCACAAATGGTCTAAAAATGTTATGCTGGCTGCTTGGTGTCTGACATTAGTCCCAGAATAATGACTGTGTTCAGTGCTGCTGTGTTACATATAAATAATTACTGCTTTATTAGTTCCACGTGAATACAAAGATTGTCCTCATCCCTGTGAAAACCAGCAGAGGTCAGATGTTACTTCGCTGCAACAGAACATCTGTTTGCAGCTCAGGCAGTGGTCTTGTCGACCCTTTCAGTGTCAGAGTTACCGCCGTCCCTACAAACACACTCTATCGCCTCGTTCAGGCACGTTTTTCTTAGGAGTCAAGTGTGTGGCGCTTTAATTTGGGACGGAAGTCAGGGAGGGAAAACACTGGTGCTGCTAAAGGGCAGCAAGGTCATGTTTTTCCCTGATCAATATCTGTCTACACATTTGAAAGCCTGAGTGTGAAGTTAAAAATTTGTTAGAATGTCACGCATTTTCAGGAGCTGAACTATGACAAGCAAATTAATTTACATTTTAAGGAGAATATCCAATTGTCTATGATGGATTATTATGGTGTACCTAATCTCTCCTAATCACAGCCAGATTTTGGTAGTAGCTTGTTATGTTTACTCAATTACATTTCCTTGAGCAACTATTTTGAAAATGTACTTTTATGAGTATTTTCACTATGCTGTACTTTTCATTTTTATTTTATTATGAAGTGTCGTTACTCTTACTTGAATAAAATTTCTGGATTTTCTACCCAATGAATGGTTAACACAGAAACCCAGTTGCAGGTTTTGTTAAAGGTTCATAAGTTTTCTATTAAAAGAAACTGATTGGGATTCTTTCTTCTTTTTTTTTTTTTTGCCCTCATTTGGTTATTTGTCATTTTTATCTTTGAAATACCAACATTACATTTTCACTCTTATTTGAGTAATATTTTTGGATGACTACTTTTTTACTTTTACTTGGGTGAAAATGTGTTGAAGTCGTGCTACTCTTACTACAGAAAAATTTTGGGTACTCTGCCCTCTTCTGATGACTGCTGTAGGTACACTGAAAAAAATAAGTCATTGGATGAACATAAAAAAATTATGGAAAGGATTTCCACCTGATTACTTTGCTTTATTTCAGCACCATGTACTTGTGTTACTCCTATTTAAAGCAAATGTGTTAGGTCAACCTAATTTATTAAGATATTCCAATGTAAAGCAAATGTGTTGGCTCAACTTGTCACAATGGTGATTCAATGGGTGATTCTAAATCAAACATGTTGGCTCAACGTAATATATTGTGGTTATTCTTATATAAATTAAATGAGTTGGCAAAACATAATTCATTAAGGTTGTTCTAATTTAAACCAAATATGTTGGCTTAACCAGAATTATGGTAATGCAATGGATGATTGTAAATCAAATGAGTTGGCTCTACTCCATTCATTATGGTTATTCAAATTCAAATGAAATGTGTTGGCTCAACATATGTTTTAAAGGTTCTTTTAACTCAGTTACTATAGCGTGACCCAGTGTAATGCAATACAGCCCGCCCAACTAATCTGCAATGTTTAGGACCAAATCATTGATGTAACTTCATTAAGATGAATATAAATCTAGTTGAAACCACCTTATTTTACAGTGGTGCCTTCACACTACCTGATTCAGTAGGTCCAACTCACTAAAAGTAAGTTAGCTCAACAAATATGCTTCATGCTAAAAGACAGCTCGTTAATCGTGTGGAAATCCTTTCCATTATTTCATAACGTTAATTCAAAGACATATTTTCAAGCGTTAATCAAGCATTTTAAGATAGCACTAGGTGAAAGTGTAGGAAGAACACTCAACAATTAGAAAAGGTACAACACAATTGTATTTTCAGAATTGTTATACATCGTTTTTTTTTACACAGCACAAAACACAGCTGAGTTGGACATTGAAATAAAAAAACAACTACAAAAAGGTTACAGTTTCATTTCCCAGCCAATTCTTTACAACATAAAACATGTCAGTATAGTTGCTCAACTTAGAGAACTGTAACAATATAATCTTTTCTACTGCAGACTTTAAACACTCATTTTCCATATGAAACTTTACTCAACTTAGCAGCGAGTTTCATATTGAGAACTTGTGCTTTCTTGATAAGTTCTTTCCATCCAATTTCATTATTATTTTCTGTATTACTTCAAAGGTATGCTTGAGTTACTGAGCAAGTTGAGTGCTGAACGCACTAAACTTGAGGGTAGCTCAAGTTTAGTGCGTAGATTAGTCCCAGCAGCATCACTATTGCAGAAGATACACTGCCCAAGCTGTTCATAACTTCCACCCCCTCCAGGACAATCCCAACATCCAGATGTGCATCGGCAGCCTCTGCTCAAATGACGATTCCGAGGACAATC